GCAACATGGCTCCATATGTGGGCGCAGGTGACTCTGAGGGGAGACCACAGCAGCACCAACTCGGGATTGCCTGTCACAGGCCAAGTAAAGCAACTGAAGGCAACTCATTTGTTCCCGAGTTGGTTACCCAGGGACAGGGCAGGCTGGGCCTGAGCTGGGAAGGAGGGCCTGGCCCAGCCTCAGACTCTCAGCTGCCCTGTCTTTCTCCGACTTGTGATCCTTCCGGACCCGGGCCCAGGCAGCTAAGCCAAATGCAGGGAGAGACTGAGAAGGCTCCACATGGTGCCTGGGACTCCTCCAATGTCCCTCTGGAGGGACAATGCAGCCATCTGAACGGCAGGAGAAGAAATGGTTGTGGAGGAGCAGGCACAAATGGGCATGGCCCTGCCACGTGACTAGCATTTTATCTGTTAACTGGAACTTGTCCTGGTCACTTACAAGACTCGGGCAGAGGGAAATTCTTGGGGCTCAGGCCAATAACCTGATCTGCCCTCTGAACCTGAGGGTCCTTCTGTCCTAGCAAAGCGAGGAAGGGATTTGCAGCGACTGGTGTCTATAGTCCCAGCCACAGAGACAGCATGCACCCTTCCGGGAGAGGTCTCTAGGCTCCCAGATGCTGAACTATGTCACATTTCCCCCAATAGCTAGTTGAGTGTCCCCCCTGTCAAATCTCCCTTTGTCATACCTGCCTGATAATAGTAATAACAGTATGTACTGAGCACTTATATGTCAGCTACTGTATGAAGTCTTCTGTATGCATCATCTCATGTAATCTTCACCTTGGCCTGGGAAGGTAATATCATTATATGTACTTTACAGACAAGGAAATGTAGGCTCAGGCACACCCAGCCAGGAAAGGGCAGAAATAGGTTTCAAACTTCAGGTTCTTTGGCTACAATCCCCTGCTCCTAACCACTGCTCAGAACAGAGTCCAGTTCTCTGCACAAAGACCCCAGCTGCTCTCTGTCCTCCACTTTCTAATCCCACTGCCTTTGTTCTACTGGGGCTCCTTGGGCCGCCTCCTCTCTCCTCTTTCTCCCAAGCAGACGAAGCGCTACCCACCTTCCTCCACTGTCTGCGGGACACTTCTCAGGGGTCCAGGTGTGACCCTGAGACCACCGATCAAAGGACTGGCCGGGGCCACTGGCTCCGTGGGTTCAGGAGCCTGTGCAGCTGGTCTAGAGGACAAACTCCCTGCTGATGCCATTTTCTGTCTATGAAGCAGCTGCAGCCAGGCCAGAAAGTAAACAAATTAAGTTCATGGAGAGAGGGGGGATCCTCAGAGGACTCTCCATCTCAGTGGGGTCTGGGAAAGACGACTCAGGGATGAGCATAAAAGCCCCGCTGCATAAGGGGACACGTTGCAGGATTTGCCCTTGAACTTCTCAGCCTAACGCTGGACCCACTGAGAGACGGAAAGATTGATACTACAGCGCACTTCCTCCCGGTTCACTTTTAACCTCCTTCTGCTCAAACCCCGCCTCGGTGGGGTCCTGCCTATCGCTCTATTTTAAGTTCTTGTCCCAGCGTCACCAGGCCCTTCTCTGCCTCCCTCATTTATATCGTTTATTGCTTGCCTCCTGCTGGACGTCAGCTTTGTGAGGGAAGGCATTTCGGTCTGGGTGGGTCGGAGGGTGGGGTTTTGTCCTTGTTCACCTGCTGGACAGAAGATCTCTGAGCACATTGTGGCCTTCAACAAATATTTTTTGAAATATTTTATCTGGTTCATCTTAGAGAGAGGGTAAGGAAAGGAGAAAGAGAAGGAGAGAAACACCAATGTGTGGTTGCCTCTTATACAACCAGCACTAGGGAGCTGGCCTGCAACCCAGGCATGTGCCCTGACTGGGAATCGAACTGCTACCCTTTGGTTCACAGGTCAGCACTCAATCCTGAGCTACACCAGCCAGGGCTCCACAAATATTTCTTGAATGAATGAATGAATTAATGAGGATTCATTGGAGATTGTTTGATATTTAAAAAAGATTTACTCAAAGAGTTTTTACTCTTCCTCAGAAGGGGGTGGGCAGCCGGGCAGAAGAGTTAAAGGGCCTGAACTCTAGGCCTTCTCTCCTTGGAAGTCCCAAGGAGAGGCCAGTCTCTGGAAACACTATGGTGGAAATACGGCATTTTGACAGAGCAATAGAAAAGCATGCGGGCTAATTTCGTCATTTGAAAAATGAGAAAAGAAAAAAAGGTAAGGCATTCATCTTGACTGGTCATAGCTCTTTTGTTTGTTTGTTTTTTGAAAGAACAAAAAAGCCCTGGCTGGTGTGGCTCAGTGGATTCAGTGCCGCGCTGTGAACCAAGGGGTTGCTGGTTCGATTCCCAGTCAGGGCACGTGCCCTGGGTTGTGGGCCAGGTCCCTGGTGGTGGGTGTGAGGGAGGCTACCACACACTGATGTTTCTCTCCTTCTCTTTCTCCTTCCCTTCCCCTTTGTCTAAAAGTAAATAAATACAATCTTTAAAAAAAAAAACACCTCTCTTTAAAAAAATTAGATAGATAGATAGAACAAAAGAAAAACAACTCTCAAAGATTTTGGAGAGAATTGAGAAATTTGAAAATGAGCTAAACATCAGATGCTCTCAGGAAACTCCTGTTATTTTAGCTCCAAAGATGGCAGGCAGGTCGAGTAGGAAACTCTCACTCTTCGGGGGGGGTGTGGGGAAGAGTTTCAGGGAAAAGTACTGCATCTGCAACTTTCTTCACCAGCCTCCATGCCAAGGTGCCCGCACATCCATGTGATGATGGCCCTCTTGTCCCCGCACTCAGGCCACTGCCCCCCATGCCAACCGGCATTTGGAGCCAATATTTCACCAGTAAGAGCAGGGATCTTTAGTGGGAGAAGGTGACTCGTGTGTGTGACTACTGTGATGAAACCAGGACTCCCTGTCAACATGCCATTTGCACTTGGCCCTGGGCCAGGACATTGGTTTGAAGGTGACTTTGACTCTCTTGAGAGCACGTCTGAAGCCTTGGCTGTTCAGCCTCCCTCTGGTCCCCCCATGCTCGGCCCCGTCCCTCACGGGCTAAATTTCACTCCCCTGGTCTCTTTCTTCACTAGGCCAATGAATAGCCGGTTAGTCAGTACAGCTCATGACCTTCGGAATTTTTCTGAGTGCGTCTTTGTTTCTCTTTGTTAATAAAAACAGCTTCATGACCTATGTCATCTAGTGTCAGAGCAAATGACAAGCAAGCATTCTCAGCTTTGCCGCAGAGAGAGGAACCTAAAAACTCAGAAGTACAAAACATTGTGTCCAAAGGCAAATATCTGAATGGTGAAGAATCTTGAACGAGACCCAGGATTCCCAGTTCTTGGAATTCTGGATCCCTCCTGGCAAAAGCTGGTCATTTTTTATTGGAACTGACCACCTTCCCCCCTTCCCCAGAAAGCCTCAGCTCAGGCAGGAAGATGAGAAAAACACAGTCAGGCACCCCCCAGGGGGCAGGGCCTGCTTCTAACTGCACCAGTGGAAAGTTACCTGGTTTTGTTTGTCTCTCTTTGCAAAGTCCAGTTTGCAGCCTGTCTGTGAGTACAAACGTTAGGGATTGAGCTGTTCCAAACTGAACTTCAACCCTGCAGGATTCAAGTCTTATCTTAAAAGAATGCAACCCTTGTGATAAAATAATAATCATAATAAAACACTTATCATTTTATTTTTTCACATTCCTTTTTTTATCCTCAGCCAAGGACGTTTCTATGGATGTTTTTAGAGAGAGAGGGCAAGAAACATCACAGAGAGAGGAACAGCGACTCGTTGCCTGCCATGCGCCCAAACCAGGGAAGCGAACCCACAACCTAGACACATGCTCTGATGAGGAGTCAGATAGACAACCCCTTCGGTGCACAAAGACGCTCCACCGGCTAAGCCGTGCAGCCTAGGCAGGAAGGATCGTTGAAAGACAGCTAAGGTAGGGGTTGGCAGGGTTATAAATAGAGTAAGACTAATCCTTTCTATGACATTCAGAATCCTGGCAAGTACAATGGCTGGGAATTTAAAGGAAGTCATCTGAAAGCTAAATGTCTGTCTTCATAATGGATTTCCAAAAGAAGGGAAAATTGTCTTGACTAAACTGAGAGGGGCTGCCGAAAGTGACCCGGATGTCCTAGCAGTGGCCGGATGTCCTAGCTGGGGGGCCTAGAAATGGGGGGGACTAGTTCTGCCCTTGAAAAGAATAGGTACCTGGTGGGGAGGGGGGTGCAGGTTCTGGGCAATCTGCTTCACTTTAAGTAGAAAAACCAACAGTAATTCTGAAGTAACCAAGAAGTAATTTAAAAAGCACAAAGGAAGGTACCCTGGACAGTGCCAGTGATATGACCTTTAAAAAATCACGTTGACACCCTGTCTCTTGAAGAATGCTGAAGACACAAAACCTGGCCATTCCCACAGGCCCACGGGAGTGTTTTTCCCATTTCTCGATGACCATTTGGGCCTTCACCACGTGAGCGTGCGGGTCTGGGGAAGGCCACATCCCTCAGCCTTCCTGGGAGCCCCGACCTTTGCTAGCAGCCAGTTTGCAGGAAGACCTCGGGAGGCCCGAGGCAGCCAGAGGTCTCCCATAGGCACGTGGGGACCCAACAGCAGCCTGACTCTGTGGGCTCCCTCCTTGAGATCGGCTCGCAGCTCCAAGGAAAAAAGAAGAAAGAGCCACAGCATGTTTTGCTTTCCACTTTCACCTGAAAAGAAATATACCTAAGAGCAAGTGCAGGGCAGAACGCTTGTACCTGCTGGTTGAGGCTGCCACTTCCTCGGGCCACCAACCAGCCCTCACTTTAGACTGTATTTACTACTAGAGGGTGACCAACAGCTTCCTTTCAAAGCTGAAGAAAGTGACAAAGTGGTCTGAGGAGGAAAAGAAATAATCAGAGACATTAAAAATAATAGCAGCTCTCAGCCTTCATCTGGGACCAATGGCCGCTGCCAGTGGTTGCTTACGTCACAGCTTTGGCGTGTAGGTGTCTTTCCTGCCAAGTGTAATCTCCGTCTGTCTCGTCACCACAGCATTTCCAGAGCTTAGCAGATAAGGAGGAGCTTAGTGATTGTCGGCAGGAACAAATAAATGGGTTGCAGTGACATCAGAAGAAACCAGTGCAAGAAGAGAATGAGATTGGCTTCCAAATATTGGTCAAGAGCTTTAAGTAGGATGAGCCAAGGATGTCTGAATTGCCTATATTTCCACGACCAGGTGACTTTCCTGGGTCTAGAATTCTGAGGAGGTGACGAGGTAACAAACCGTAGTCTTCCTGTAAGGAAAGAGTTAAAGGCGTTTGCACCTGGGCTTCTGAGGGGACGATGTGTTCATTAGGGGCACCTGCCTGGGCCACCAACCTGCAGGCCGCACTGCACCCCCACACCGCGGAGGGCGGACACTGGGCTTTCCAGCCTTGCTTAGTGTGCTTGACCAAAGGTGACAATGACTTAGGGGGCTAAGGTCGTGTCCTCCCCCCTTCCAAATCAATAATTTAATGTGACTTATCAGAAAGAGAAAAAGCTGTTTACTTTAAAGCTCTGGATTCCATAAAGGGAGAGAGACAAGGCCTAAAACCTGCAGAAGCTCAGGGCTCAGGCCCACGGCCGCTCCGTGTAACTCAGGGCGCCTGGGAGGCACCGCCCCACCGGCCAGCAGAGGGCCTGGGCTGCGAGACTCGAGCTGCCTGGAAGGTAAGTTCCTCTCTTCCCATGGACCCTCCAACTCCCGTGTGAATTATGCTGTTCTTTTTGGGGCTCACTGCCTTTCAAAGGTGGGGGTGAGCTGTGACCTAGGTGTTCAAAAAGACCCCACACAACACCTGAATAAGGTGCAGTGGTAAACACAGCATGCTTGAATTTGTCTGCTGTGACTATTCTGTTTTGTTTTGTTTTCAGAAAGCCTGAAAAAAACTTGTGACTTTTCTAGATGTTCCTCTCAATCCCGTGGAGAGAAAGGCTAAGGCTGGGGAGGAGTTGGGGCCCAGAAGTAGCGTGGACTTTTAGTTCTGCTCCTGAAGCAGTGGCCCTGAAGCCATTACCTGTTTCAGGATGGTCTGAGTTACCAACAGCTCCAAGGTCTTTGAGATCCACCAGAAGACTGGGATCTCACTGGGATTAGGAGGTTGACCTGGCCAGGAGTCCCTCCCCTCCCCAAGCTTCTGGGCAGTCGCACGGCACAGCTCGCTCTACTTTGTTCTTCAGCTGCTAAAAGGCCCACCTCGGGGCTGTGGAGGTGTCCACCTCTTATTAGTCCATCGACGGCCCTGGAAAGAGCTGGATGGCAGCTCAGAGAGGAGGCTGGTTCCTAGGAGACCTCCAACCTCAGCAATTCTCTTACAAAGGTCTGTTGTGGCCCCAGCTCAGCTGAGAATGTGCTCAGTGGTCTCTCTTAACCCCTGGTTGGTGATAAACACAGATAATGGGCACAGAAGCACCCAGAACTCCCCTTCTAAGCAAATTTCAATGAGAAAAGAAATGCATCTTTGCTCCCTATTGACAAGAACATTTTATTTTAAAATGTCCTCGTATTTTCAAAGTGACAAGACCCAGGCGTATGTTAGTGTCTTTCTTTGTCTTTGACAAATGCTAACAGCCTAAAAGAATCAAATTGATGCCTTTAGCACACGTATGTGAGGTGACAGTAAATGTGGATTTGGAATCAGGAAAAAGTATTTTCATCGATCTTTTGCTTTTTAAGAAAATGGGGGTTTTTGGTGCTGATTGATAAGGTTCTCTGCAAGGTAACACTTCTCAGTCCCCAAAGCCTCCTTTTTGCCATCTTCTGCTGTTGGCCCAACACGGTTCTCAGCCTCTGGGGATCCCAGTGTGAAGGCAAAGACCAGCTGCTGGTGCCCAGATGTGACCTAAGAAAGAACAGGGATTTCTGTGCTATTCCTGGTACTTGTGCATCGAAGGCATCTTGTAAGAAGCTGCAATGTACACAAAATACTTAAAGACTGAAGAATTTGCTAGAGGGTTAGGCTTTGTAAAGTCTTCCCCCCAATGAACCTCCATCCCCGTTAATGAAAAAAAATATCTTCATGAGATGAAAAGAAAGGCAAACCCTGTCTTGCCTGATTGTCATACCATGGGCTCAATGGGAAAGCTGCATTCTGAAATCTAGGCACCAGAAACGTCTAGACACTCAGTCCAGGTCAGAGGGCAAGGGAAGATTAGACAGGGACACCCCACGGAAACGTCATGGTAAGGGCCATTTAGAAATGCCTGACCCCCACCTCAGGAAGGAGCCAAGAGAGGTGGAGAGAACTGAATGAGGCTGAAATCAGTGGAGAGCCGCTAAACCGGACCCCTCCAGGCCTTTTCTAAGCGGCAGAAAGTTGTGCTGGCATTTGGACCCATCATCCTGATTAGTATCCAACATCTTTGCCTTAAGCGTTCATTTTTTTTTGTTCCACAGGAAATAACAGGTGTAATTGTTTCTCAACCACCTTATAAACTTTCTAGTTTTTATGAACTGGTACTATTTCAATTGCCACATTTGAAAGAACTAGAACAAAAGGGCTTTTTTACATAACTGCAGAATGAGAATGACTTTGTGAATTAAGAGAATATATATCCAGGTAGATCCTGACACTGCCACTTCTCATTTTTTTGTTAGTGACATGTTAGACGGCATTTGGAAGAAGTGGAAACACTCTGCTTGCTTCTTTAAACTGCTTTGCAGGCCGAGTTTAACTGCACCTGCAGAAGCAATCAAAGAAGTAATAAAAGGTGGTGGCCGTTAGAGCTGTGTTTAAAACGTGTGCGCAAGGCTGAGAACATCACAGGCACCCGATAAACAAGTGTTTATGGATCAATGCTGTCATACCGTAAAATTAGCATTCTGCAAAATAAAGCACTTCAGCAATCATTTGCTGAGAAATCAGCCTGAGGCCCATCTCTCAGGGCAGCACGAGCTTCCGAGCTTGTTGACAAGCAGTGTAGACAGAGGGTAAGTTCCAGCCTCCCGATTTCAGGGGAGCCTTGTGCAAGAAGGAATTTCATTAGGAATATACCCCCACATGAACCCTGCTTACAAATTATTTAAATTCTAATCGTTTTTCCCAGTACAAAAGTACTACATGATTTGTAGAAATTAATCAATGTGGAGAAGCGAAAGGAAGAAAAAAATGAAACCCCAATCTACCAGTCAAAGATAACCAGGCAATATTGGGTGTTTGGGGCCCCGGCATATATGTATTCCTCACAAAAAAGGGCTCCCAGTGTGCACATTATTTTATAAATGACTCCTCCATTCAATAACATATCTTGAATCTCTTTCCAAGTCAACCACCATTTTTTTCTACAATATCAACTTACGTGACTAGGGTGTATTATAAATATACTAACTTTCTATAATTGGACATGAAGGTTGTTTGCAATTTTTACTAATACAAACAGTGCCACCCTAGACAACCTTAGAGGTAAATCTTTCTACAAATCTGTAGGAGGAAAAATCTTTTCTCCAATTCAAGGACTCTTTCCTTGAGAGAAATTTCTTAGACCGAAGAAATAGAGGTTTATTTGGGGAAGGAGGTGGTAACATTTACCTGTTAGGTATTAACATCCTCTCTTTTTTCTTCCCTGTTGACTCTCCCTCCCTTCCAGTCTTTGGCAGACTCCTGGAAGGTTGCAGCACCCACCTGGAGAAGTGGAGGGGCTACTCACACGCTGCTCTCAGGTGCTGTAAGTGAAATGGGCGTGAGCCCTTGCCCTGTGCAGAGAGCCCTTTAAGCATGTCTTCCAGGACTGCTTTTTCCATAAATCCCAAATGAAGTAAGATATGTCCAGGGCCCCTTGTCGTGGCCAGCGATGTCCCTTGAGCAGCCAGGCAGTGGGGGTGTCTGTGCTAGGTCCCTCAGACAAAGCAGATGAGCGTGGCTGACTTGTTAGATGGAGCAGTGAGAAAGGAAGAGCCTCAAGAGTGTGTCCCTGTGGCTGCAGCCAGGGAGCTGAGGGCTGCTGGGGGCGTTTGGGGTCAGCTGGGGAGCTGCAAAATCTGTGTGTGGGGTGAGTGGTGGCGGGGGAAGAGTTCCACCTGAAGGGAGCAGGTCTCACAACACAGTGGGCTGGGCGGCAATTCCCTGCTGCCCTACAAGTGAGCGCACCCTGGTGAGGCAAGCCAGGGGCGCAGACAGACACCAAAGGGAATCAGTCACTTAATAGGAAGAGGAGCACATCGGCAGGGCCAAAAAAGGCTGGCTGGTACTCCTAGGGCAGATGCAAGGCTGTGTATCGATGACATTGCCAGAAAACCGAAAAGCAAAAGAAAGAAAGAGAAGAAAAGGCTCCAATCCTGTGGCAGCTGGGTGACTTTCACAGTCTGCTGATAACATGCAGTCTAGGGTGAAGAGGGTGATTTTGTGGTCTGCCTGTGAATAAGGGTCATTTTTACTTTTAAAAACGCAGAGTGCTCACTTTCGATTGTTAAGAACGGGCTGATTTGATGGCCCGGTAAGGCTCTGGCCCGATGTTAACAACAGGGTTCTCCTGGGGTAAAAATAGACTGGTCCCTACTCCCTCCTTTTTCAGCATGTGGGAGAAAAAAAAGGTTAGGTGAAATGTGTCATTTCTTCTCATTCTCCATTGTGGACAGAAATAAATAAAAATAAATAAATATTTATTAGAAACCATTTTTAACAGGAAACCCAAGAAACCAGGGGTGTTTATTTACAGGAGGCTCCTGATTGCTAGAAAATGAGTGTCATTCATGACAAATTGTATAGTTTCTCTCTTTGTCCATTTCCTTCCTTCCCTCCCCTTTCCTCTTGCCAACGGTGGAGAATAACATGTAAAATCTGGGTGCTGCTGTATCAGATAGGTACCAATGAAAGAAGATTATAGCCCATCTAAGTGCTACATCTCCACACAAAATAATTGTACCTTCCTTAGGCTGCAGCATTACTACACGTACTGATGATGGATAGAGATACATGGTGAGGGGAGAGTTGGGAAGGTCCAGTCATGTTATTATGGGTTATAATGTGGTGACCCACTAAGAATTTGTTTCCTAAAATCAATTCCCTCTAGGGATTCTTTCTCTCTTAGCCCTTTTAGAAAACTGACGCAAACAGATTTCTCATCTGTTTCCGAAGGAAGTTTCTCTTCCTGTTGATGGGAGGTCGTGGCGGGTGGTAACAGAACATAAGGCAGTGGCCCCTTCGGGTCCCTTTCTCAGCTTGGCTGTTTCAGGACACATAAGCCTGGCACCCGTGAGTCTTTCTCTCTTTCCAGTGTTCCAGATGCTCCCTGCCCCTGATCCTTCTTTTCTCTGCTCAGGTCACTACACACAGCTGGCGAGGCTCCCTGGTGATCCGCCACAGCAGAATGTGCAGGTGAAGTTACCACCTTCCCAGCTGCAGACGTCCCTTAGCAGAGCTGTGGAGTGTGACAATGGTGTTTGTGTCCAAGCTGTCAAACGCCATTATCACACTAAATAGCTACTGTTAGGCAATCCTTCCACTCAGTACATGCCTTGGCACCTGTTCGGTGTGGGCAAGAAGACTCGGCTTACAGCAGTGTCCCAGGCCGGTGTGACTACTGAATAAGTTCCAGTCCTTCTGTGCTCAGGCCCAGCATGTCATCTGAGCTGTGCCTCTTGCACGCTGTTGTTCAATCTTTAAACTGATGACGAGTGTTCTTCCTTTCCTGACTCGGTAAGAGGACTGCAGTGTATCCCAAAGTACCAAAGCACAAGGCGAGGTGTGTGGTAATCAATCAACCCATGCTTGCTGAGTTGAAAGGAGCAGTTCACAAATGTTAGACACAGAAAACGAAAACTGGGTTAAAGCTAAGTTTTGTAAACCACAGGTTTATAGGTGCAGTATCAAGGTATGTGTGTCTTGCCCTTTTCATCACTAAACAACTTTCTAATAAACTCACAGATGCCTTAACTGACTGTTCAGAAATTCAATAACATGTTTGATTTCTACTGATTGTAATCCATTACCAGGCTGATTACTGAATTTGTATTCTAGGCTCTTCTTCCTTGTGTTTCAGCCAGTTATCATCAGGAAATTGTAAATGAGTTATGTGTGAGTTTCCTTAGCAAATCTGAGCACGTTAAACCCAAGCAGCTTCTGGGACAATTGGAGCAGCTGGGTGGTCTCGTCTGAAACACAGTCTTTCTCTGAGAGGCATTTAAAGTAAGGATCAGGTTCTATTCGTGCAGGGCTACAGCTTCTCTGTCATGACTTGGCTAAGTGAACCAGGGCATGTTAAATCAAATGGAAAGGATCGGAGCCACCACCAGAAACAATGTGTTCGATCACCAGCCATTCATTTATCAGAAAAATATGTGTGGAGTGGCTTGAGGGATAAATTACACATGTCTGACATTTCCAGAAATGGTGCTTACTGGCTCATAATCAGTGTGGGGCCATTCTGATTGTTCACTGATGTGTATGAGCCAATCAGCAAAACTGTGTAAAACCATTCCAAGTCCCTTGCTGGGAAAGCACCCCTTGGGAGCAGTCCACATGCCTGTGATACACGGCCAACACCCAAGGTCAGAGGCTTCCATCCAAAGAAAAGAAGACCCATCCTGCCGGCCCTGCATCTCCTCCCACCTCAGCAACGTCAAGCAGAGAACCAGATCCCCTGAAATCATTCATACACCAGCATTCCCTTTTTGTGGGGTGTTTGTTTGTTTGTGAAAGCACTAATAGAACGAGCATTGGTACAGGGCTCTGCTATTCAAATCGCTCCCTCGCACACGATTTCATTTGGCCCATTCAACATGGGCAAAGATGGTATTTACAGTTTGGGCCCCTTCCCCACCCAGGCAGTGAACGGAGGCTGAGAATGGTTGTGGAGTCGTCTGGTTGTGCTACTGGGGCTCAGCCGGGGTGTCCCGACTCTGATGCCTTCTCCATGCCACTTTCCTCGGCCTGGTTATTCCACACACCCCCGGCTCCCCCGCCTAGGCCACGTCGAAGCCGGGTTCATCGTGCCGGTGTGGGATCAGTATCCTCAGCCCTGCCGTCTGCTTTGCCAATGTGTTCTGCGGCCAGCCTGCAGAATGAGAGGAGATGAGTGAGCCACATGGGACAGGCTCTCCGTGTGAGTGTTCACAACGCAGAAAAAGCCACGTGCAGGGAAGCACCAGAATGACGAAGCGGAAGGGACGAGAAGGGAAGGACGTCTCACTGGTGGCTTGGGGTTCGGAAGGGGTGACCAACTATCCGGCTATAGATTGGCCAACTCAGTGAGCCAGCCAGCTGATGTGACAATGATTAACCCAGAGCCTTTGGGTCCCAAACAGCTCCCAGGCTCAGGGACAGTGCCAAGCTGGCCTCACATATTCCTCCTCCCCACTTGCCCTGAGGTTTTGCTCAAATGGAATTAAACAGGGAGAAAAGGAAGGGCATTTCTGCATCTTTTCTGTGGCTCACCTCACACAGCGCCTAATATTATGATTCCTGCCTGGGTCAGCTCCGCATGCGAGTTGGGGGCCTGGTTCTTTGTGTAGAACTCTAAGGGCCACACACAGAGGACAAAGCGCCCGCTCCCCACTGTAGAGCCAGGGCTACACACTCCAGCTGCTCCGATCTCTGATGACAGCATCCTTCCCCAGCCCCCCTTTCACGGCTCCCACTGTCTCCCAGGACGACTCTTGCCGGTCCTCTCCCGGAAGGTATCCCTGACTCCCAGTGCCGCCTGCAGGGCGAAGGGGCCCAGTTGGAAGTGCAGTTAAACTTGCAGTGGAGCTGGGAGGCAGCAGAGAAACGAGCGGCCTCTTCCCCGGGAGACGGCCTCCCTTCACTTTGTGAGTCACATCTGCGAGGCCCTCCAAGTCCTTTCATCTGAGGACTCTGCATACCTCAAACATGACAGTTGCCACTTAGCGCCAGCCCCAGAGGAGGTCTGTGAAATAGCATAGCAGCTGTCATATACAGATGGCTCATTGCTACATTTTTCTGGACTGTTATTAAACCTGTATTTTGTACTCAGTGTAGTTCCTCAAATCAGGAGACAGTGGACTGTTAGGACGGAAAACCAGACCCCTTGTCCTGGGGAGGAAATTGCAGCCCTGAAAGGTTGAGGAGGCGGCCCAGGGTGGTTCAGTGAGTCTGCGGCCCAGCTCGACCCCACAGCCAGGCTTCCGGGCTCTGCCACTTCCTCCCTGTGGCGTCCTGTCGTTGTCACCGGCCGAGAGTAGACGCCAAGAGTAGAGGAGTCAAGCAGTACTTGCTGAAGGAGCGGCTGGATGCCATGTAAAGTCCCCTCCCTTTTCAGCCATCTGAGAACTGTTGCCTTCGGCTTTCAGAGGGATGCCCCTTCTTTGCCATTTTAGAATTCAGCGGGCAGGTCCATGTTTATGCTCCCTCTTCCCCACCCCTCGCTAGACAGACATGTTACGTGGTTACTGTGTGCCTCATATTGTACTGAGCTCTGGGGACACTCCTCAATGCAGGAGTTAGACAGTTGCCACGTGAGAGACAGCAAGACTTGAAGAAACTAGATGCCATCACCAAGCCCGAGACAGGGTGCCCGAGGGCTCTCGTTATGTCCTGCCGCTCTTTCCAGATGACGGAATACTGAGTCAGACTTGACCTCTGGTTGGTTGTTTGTGGGAAATAATTGCTCTTGTGTGTGTGGATGATTCCACGGTCAACAGGTTATGGATAAAGGACGCTGTGTCGTGCTGGGTGTCAGTGCTGAAGGCAACAATTCTGCTGCTCTTACTTCACCTGTTGCTGGCATTGTGAGCAGACAGGATCTGCGGAGAGGACTCAGTGGGGTCAGGGGACACATCCGAGCCCTCTCAGTGCCTGTGAGGAGCTTTCAGATCTCATGGAAGCTGGAGGAGGAGTGAGCTGGCTGTCTCTCATAATGCAGGCTGGGTAATGCTCCCCCCACCAGGTCATGAGCCCGGTTCCTCCGCTGCGCCCCCCTCCCGTCACAGAAAACCCATGCCAAGGCCACCAGTGGGATGCCCCTCAGTTTCCCCTCCCATGGCAGGAGCCCTGGGGCCTGTGGGAACGTGAAGGAATGAGGGACATCCACTTTCTATCCTTGGCTATCCAAGTTCCCCTCTAAGATTTCTAACAAAAGTGCAAGGTATCAAACACACACCAGGTCACCAAACTGTAAGTGGCTTCTGGACATTTCAAAGGGCCTCGGTGAGAACGCTGGGTCACCATGTGCGCTCTGAGAAAAGACTGATGTGACACAAGCTGATTGTGTGCAGAGCACATTCGAGCACTGTGCACACGATGCAAAAGGGAAGGGGACCTTCACTGGCTCGTTCAGCCAACACGCAGAGGTGTGCCGGGCATTAGGCTGGTCACGGAGCGTTCGGACAAGGGTGCCCTTTCCGGAACACAGTGCCAACAGTGCAGTGAGGACACAGACAACAAGGCATGGCCGTTTTCGATTCTTTGAAGCAGGTGTGAGGGCCCTTGGGCTGAAAGGAAGGAAACCCCACCTGTGACATAGGCATGGGCAGAGACAAGCAGCCCAGGGAAGAATCACTCTGCTGCTCAGGCAGCCTCCCAGTTAAAGAGAAAGTCGTGACCTTGGCAGGGGAAGCATAGTGATTTTCACCTTGACGGAGCTCGAACGCACTTCAGGTTTCCTAAGCATCTCCCAGCGATTTCCTGCAGAGAGGAACTGAACTGCGAGCCGGGGGTTTATTTGGTGGGGTTTTCCCTTAAAAAATGCAGCCAGACAGCCACAGAAAAAGATCCCCTTTTAAATAAAAGCAGCACATTGCACCATTTGGCCTGTGACTGGAGCAGGTGCGTGTGCTTGCCATGCACATGTGAAGAATTTTAATTTCTCAAAGGAGCTGCGTAAAATGCCTTCAAATGCTCTTTCAACGGAGACTTTTTATAGGCATTTAAAAAATCCTCACCTGAGGATATGTTTTTATTGAACTTGGAGAGCAAGAAATAGGTAGTGGTGGGGAGAGAGAGAAAGAGGGAGACAAGCACAAAGAGAGAGAAAGAGATAAAGATAGAGAAAGAAGCAGAGATAGAGAGAGAGAGAGATGGAGACAGAGATGGATATATATACAGAGAGAGACATCGATTGGTTGCCTCCCACACACGCTCTGACCAGAGATCCAATCAGCAACCCAGGTATGTGCCCTGACCAGGAATAGAACCTGCAACTTTTTGCTGTAAGGACCAACGCTGCAACCAACTGAGTCACCCAAGCAGGGCAAGAGACGTCTTTAAAAAAAACAAAAACAAAACCAGGGAAAAGCCAGGGCGGCCATCTCCCATTTCTCCTGAGACGAGCATCCTGGTAATCCAGAGCTCACTCTCTCCATGTGATACTGCCCCCACGTGGTAAACTGGGTCCCTGCACAGCAAAACCTCTGGTTCCAAAGGCTTTCCCATTTGTTTGCTACCACAGTGCTCCAAGCTGATTGCATTAAGAGGTTCCCCGACAGCAGAATTCAGCTTTAATTTCGATAAAGTTTTTGAAGTTTTGAGAGGCAGAGGGAGAGGAGGGAAGAGGTTGCCCTGCTGGGTCTCTGTTGACCCATTAAATGCACCAGACGAGAACTGATCTCGTTCTACCTAGAGAGCAAGCCCCTTCCTGTTCACTTGTCTGGCACAGCTGGCCCAGTCAGGAGCTGACTAAAGGCCTGCCCATTGTCAAGGCTGCCTGTCTTCAACCTCCTGCCTCTGGGATGTGCCAGCGACTGTATTCACAGTCCCTCTCGCTGGACACGACCCACCTGTTCCCCAAGACACAGTTCATTCCGGTCTCGCCTATGTCTCCGCACGAGCTCAGGTTATCCCAGGTCCTTGGCTCAGCAATTAGAGCTGCACACTGGGCTGAATAAACCATGGAAAGGACCTGTACAGGGGTCCAGAGGGCGTGGCTATGCATCACCACCCCCAAACGTAGGTGATGTGTTAGACAATTTTGATGGCGGGAAGCATCTTTTTCCTAGGTTATCTCAAGTAATTCGTACTTGCAGCCATATTTATAAAGCACCTAGTATGTGCAAAACACTGAACTGGGGACGGTTTTCTAGAACAGGCCCCTTGCAGGGCAGGGACAGGAACCACAGGGGAGTCCCCAAACCATCACGAGGTGAGGCCTCGTGGAACATGGTAGATAGCATTTGTGGGTGCGCCACAGATTGGGGTCACCGGTCCCTCCCAGGACCGCAGTAATAAATCAGGCCTCTATCATTGGCTCCCTTTTCTGCCCTTCCAGCTGTCGTAACTGTCACCTTCCTTGCCTACTGTTTCGGCTCACCTAGAACCACTGCTTTCTCCTGGCTTCTGGGATCTGGGCTCTCGTGGCCCCGGTTAATGGCCTTGGCTTGCCTGTCTTCCTTGGGCGTCTTTTCAGTTCCTCCACGTGCTACCAAGCGACTTCCTCCCTCCCTGGATCTCAGTTTGGACCCAAAAGCCAAAGAACTGATTGTCTCAGGTGAACTCTGTGTTCCCATTGAGGCAGAGCTCGCACTCCAAGCCGCGCCAAAGGCTGCCAATCAGCCCCTGGGGGAGGATAAAGGAAGAGGGTGTCTCTGTAGAAGGCAGTCCTGATCCCATGGTGGGTTTGCAATAAATACTTGTTGGATGGATAAATGGTTGGTAAAGCCAAGAATTTTGTGTACGTCTCCGGGCTAGGTCCCCACTCATTGGACCATATTGCTGCTAATCAGTATTTTGTTTTAGCCGATATCTGTCTTGTTACAATTATGTAGCTGACGGTCTCTGTCACCCACTGGCCTCTTTTCCTGCTAAACAGCTTTAATCACCTGACACCGGGTCTGTGGGTATCTTGTGCCAGGCGTCAGCCTGAAGTGCTGCGGCCCCTCTCACCCTCAGGATGGACACCTTACCCCGGGGCCAGGGGTGGGGCCAGGGGTGGAGCCAGGGCAATTCTTCGACTCCCGAAGCCCCAGCGGCCCTTCCTGCTGAGACGCTTTTTTCCTAGGGGAGGGTCCTCACATGCCAAGCTTTCTAGTGAGAGCTACGCCCCTGTAGGCTGCCCTCTGCTCTGCAGTGCGTCGTGATGGGTGCTTGTGTCCCCAGTGTTCAGCTGGTGTCAGTGGGATGCTCTCTTAGCCTCTCTGGAAGGTTCCTCCCTTCTGCCTCAGTCTGAGACCTTGTCAGCAAATCACCAGGCTCCTCTGTGGACAGTGGGCTCCCCAGCGGCTGCTCTGCAGGAGATTTTTTCTTGCAGGCAGTGAGCAGTGCAGGGCTGAGCACCCTCACCCCTTACCCCCATCTCCCCCACCCCACCCCACCCCCACCACTGCCCCCACAAGTCATGGAGGATCAGAGAAACTCTTCTGGGAAGAGCCCCTGCTGGGTTTTGGCAGAATAGCTTAACAGGAGCTTCTCTGTGAAGGAAAGAGCACAAGAGGCTGGAGGCAAAAAAAACACCCCAGCTACAGCTGTGGCCGCAACCAGCAGCACCATCACCACAGAGGGGCTTGTTAGAAGTGCGAATCCTCCGGCCCACGCCAGACCCATTAAAGCAGAAACGGGGGCTGCGGAGACACCCTGCGTTTTAACGAGCCCCCCAGGCGCTTCTGATGCACCACAGAGCTACCGGCCTGGTCCACTGCCGCGCTCATTAGTGCGAGATGAGAGAGCCGCTGAGAGAATCGATGAGCAATGACGCACCCTCAGCTGCACATCGGAGTCACATTAGAAGCACCCTGAGAGCTGTAAAAATCCCTCGCCAAGCCGTGCCCCAGGCCAGTTACACAGGGATCTCAGAGGGGGACCAGGCATTGACATTTGTAACAGCACACAAGGTCACTTTAATGGGCAGCTGAAACTGAGCACCACTGCAGAAAATGAAGGTATTCACAAGATGCTCGATTTTGAATGCTTGTGAGAGATTTATTTTCACATAGGAACTATTTACAAAAAATATGTATATCGAGTGGCTTAGACAAAATAAAGCTTTAATTTTCTTTCCTTAATTAAAATTGGGGAGGTGAAGAGCCAAGGGACTGGGGCAGCAGCTCTGCTTGGATCCTTCTTCAGCCACTTGCATCTTCCTTGGTGTCCAGTCTGTCCTGTCCTCATGGTCACAATATCACTACTAGAGCTCCGGCTCTCAAGTTTGTGTTCCAGGAATGAAAAACTGAAGGATGAAGGGGAAAAAAAGTAGCTGCTCTCTTACTCAATCCCATTTAAAGAACACACCTGGAAGCCCCAGCTGGAGATTCTGCTTCAATCTCATTGGTCAGAACTGGGACACAGAACTACCCTCAGGTGCAAGGGAGCCTGGGAAACGCAGTATTGTAACTAGCACCTGAAGTGGGGTCTGTTTCTAAAGCAGAAGGGGAAAAGGACATTGGGAGAGAGAATGAG